GCAACCGGTTTTAACGATTATGCCGCCACGAGTGGTTAGGTCATCTCGTACGTTAGAATAGCTGCTATTTACGTTTGACCAACATCCAGTTTCCAATGCCGTCAGTACAAGTTAAAGCGACTGGTCTTCCGACGTGGCATGGGCGATCTCTTCCTCGGTGAGAATTTCAACTGAGTTTGCTTCCAACATTCCGATTTCCCATGGGCTAACATCTTCATTGAAGGGCTCGTCTTCACCTTCGTAGAGTCTGGATGAGGGGTCGGCAATGTTGTCCGTTCCACGCACGTACTCAACATCGTAGCTGTAGGGGCTCAATCTGAGCGCCCAGCCATCAGCCCGGGTTAAAGCTCGCTTTGATTTCTCCCGCGATCGGTTGAGGATAAATGCCACTCCTTGAGCATCCGTGCGGAGGATGAAGTGTCTACCAAGGAGGAAGTAGGAGAAGTGTTCAACTCCCCAAACCGCACTGAGTGCCTCGCGTTGGTTCTGGGCATACCCTCTCTCAGTTTTCGTGAGGGCCTTAGAAGCAAAGCTTATTATTCTTGGCTTGCGAGTTTTGCTTTCTTGTACTAGTACGGCACCTAATGCACTAGGGGAAGCGTCGGTGTACAAGATAGTTGTATCTGTGTCAGAGAAGTATCCAAGGGTGGTTATGCAATGCAGTATTCGCTGTTTAATTTGCTCAAAAGCACTTTTCTGGTCTGCGTCCCAGGTCCATGCCTTTTTTGTCACGATTTCCCACAACGGGCGCGATATCTATGCGAAATTTCTCACATACGAGCTGATGAAGGACGCAAGACCCAAGAAACTCCGCAGCTCTGAAATAGTAGTAGGCTCCCGGAAGTTGCGCAGACTTTTGATTTTGCCCTCATCAACATGGAAACCGTTGCCGTCCAATTGATGACCAAGGAACTTAATGCTGGTCTTGTCGTACTCGCATTTTGCTGTGTTGAGAGTTAGGTTGTTTTCCCTTAATACTTGGAGCACTTCGCCGACGGTCTGTCGCAATTCGTCCAGGGTTTCCGCAGAAATAAGAATATCGTCTATATAGACTATCACGTTCTTTATGCCAGTAAGTAGACGGGTCATTTCACGCTGGAATATTTCGGGGGCACAATTGACCCCGAACATCAGCCGTGTAAAGCGGTACATGCCGGTTTCGGCAAGAAAGGTTGTGAGGTCGCGCGACTCTTCGCTTAGCTGCAGGTGATAAAATGCGTTGCTCAGGTCCAATTTTGTGAAAAATTTTGCCCCATGGAGTTTGACCCTCATTTCGTCTACCAAGGGCAGCCGAAAATATTCTCTATTTATGGCTTTATTCGGCGCCCTCATGTTAACGACGAGTCGGAAATCTGATTTGCCCTTTGCCACGGCAGACATGCCACTTATCCAGCCGGGCGCTTTTGTCACCTTCTCTATAGAGATTGCTGACGTTTATCGTACGTAGTGTGCGTCACGTATACGTATACGCAAAATGTTTTCATCGGGAAAAAAAACTTCATAGCGGAAAATTTTCCCGATGAAAACAAATCACTTACACAATCATACTTTAGCAATCTCTATTATTCCGCGCTTTTCCATTTCATCCAGTCTTGTCCGGGCAGCCTCCCTGAATGCTGCCGGGACGTTATAATATGCATTCTTGGTTGGAGGGATTGTCCTGTCCACACTAAATTTGACTTTTACTCCCGGCATTTTGGGAAATATACCGTCGTCAATAGTTGCCATGCTGTTAACGGCTTTCCCAACTTGAAGAAGTTTCAAGTCGTGCGCGGTGGACCGGCCTAGCAACGATCTCGCTCCGCCGGGGACGACATGGAATGTAGCGCTTACTAGCGGTTTGGATGTTCCTGGTACTTCTACTGATGCTCTGAACATGCACTCAACTGGCATTGGTTTGGCGGAAGCATAGGCACGCAAGCTTTGATTGGGCTGTTGAATGAATTTGAGCTTTGCGACACCCTCGTGATACTCCCGTTTGATGTGCACCCAATCCCTGCCTCCAATTACGTTTACATCGGCCCCGGAGTCGATGAGAAAACTGATGGGGTTATCGGATCCGATACTGCAGTCAACTATTGCGTCCTCCAAAGTGAGGGCGTTTATGTTCTAAAAAGGGGAATTTTGAGAGATTGTTGGTAAAGTGACAAAACGTAAAATTTTCGTTACAATCGTATATTTAAAGGCTTTTCCTCGTGTACGAATGATCAACCTTACTTTACCTGTTCTTCGTTAATGGGATTTTCGTCACCGGATGATTCGTCAACAGGGTGCTTCACGATTTGCTGCACGCGTCGTCCTGTTCGGCATGCGACCGCGAAATGTCCTCGCTTTCCACATTTATCGCACGTTCTGGATAACGCGGGGCATTGCGGGTTCCGATGGGATACGTTGTTTCACCTAGGGCAACGCGTCTGACGCCCTTGTGGTCGCACGTTGGGCTGATTATCTCTAGCTTGAAGATTGGATCTACCTGTCCATCTCGACGAGTTCGATCGGCGCTCTGATGCTTGCATGAAATCCGAGTTTGTACGACGATGCTTAGAGACCGGGTAGCTAGACTCTTGGTGGGAATTGGTCCTCTTGTGGCTCGTTCCATAGCCCCGACCAACCTGCAGTACATTGGTATCCAGCGATCGTTCGGTTGTTTCTGCCTCGTATGCTTCATCGCGTGTGGATGCCTGCACGATAAAATTGGTGTCGTAGGCAAAGGTACGCGCTGCTTTTACCAATTCCTTATTACGAAGGCCGTCCAGCAACTGAGCTCGCACAAATCGGCTTTGGTCACCGGGACTGTAACCGCACAGCCTAACGCTTCTCATTAGCCGCGCGTGAAATGCGACTGTTGACTCGTCTCTTCCTTGTTTCATCTTCAAGAAGGCTTGGTGCTCTGCAGCTGTGTCTGTCATTGAGCGTAAATGGTTCTCAATGTTTTCGACAAAGACTGTATAACAGTGTGGATCGGTCAGGCTGGGGCGTAGGTTTACGGCTTTGACGATCGCCTGCAACTCCTGCCCGAGGGATAGGTTGAGCAGCTTGACCTTGTAAACCGGATCGTTTGCATTATGCAAAGACACCGCAACCTCGAAGTTCTCGATGAAGTCGTGCCATTCAGCCCACATTTTATTCGGGCGGACACCGCCGGGAAAAGGCTTGATGTGCTCGGGACGCACGGTCGTATACGAACCCTGTTGCTTAGACGGTTCGTGGTTGAAATTCCAGCTTTGGTCGGCTTCGCGATGTACCGGCTGCGTGGTACCAGGCTGGAGTAGGGTGATAGCCTTTGAGAGGTCCACGAGCACTTTTTCGATTTGTGTCATTCGTTCGTTTGTGGTGTTCATTTCCGGGTTTGTTTGCTCAGCGGCGTTACCTTCGCGATTCGCATCAGGTTCCTTCTCCTTTGATGGTGCGGCCGGTTCTCCACCGCCGTTGGTAGGGCTAATGCTTCTTGTACTGTAGGCGCTGCTAAGGTCGGTGTTTTCGTCGTCACTTCCTTCATGGCCACTGCTGTTGCTGTAGTCCGCTGAGTATTCGCTGCCGTCGTCATCGTGGCCCGTGGCAGCATCGACGTCGTTAGGCTTTGCTTCTCGCTCCGGTTCACGGTCGCTCGAATAACCCTCACGGTCTTCTTTCGGCCGAACGTACTTGCCGCTGTTTGGCATTGCTCGAACTCTGCGGTGATATCGCGGGGGTTCCGAAATGTAGCCTGCAATTGTGGATGCAACAAATGTCAGTAAAAAAAATACCGTAAAGGAAGTGATTGAAGAAATGTTATGCACTAGATTATACTGGTGAAATGTGTGCGGTAGTTTTTGCAATGAGGGGTCGTTTTGAAACGATTATAACAGATTTTGCAGTTTTAACAATGGCGTCATTTTAAAGTAAATGAAGCCGACTTAGCAGTTTTTTTTTTCGCGATAGCATCGTTTTGAAACGATTAGGCATATTGGCGTTTTTGTAACGGCGTCGTTTTGAAACGATTGGGGCAGTTTTCGCGGCAATGGCATCGCTTTGAAACGATTGAGGCACATTTGGCGTTCTTTTGTAATAGCGTCGTTTTGAAACGATTGAGGCAGCTTTTTTCTAGGCATTGGCATCGCTTTGAAACCATTTACGCAGATTTGGCGTTTTTTTTTTTTTTTTTTTAATGGCGTCGTTTTGAAACGATTAAGGCAGGCTTGGTGGCTTTTTCTCGCGATGGCATCGTCTTGAGACGATAGGCAGAATCGGCGTTCTTTTTTCCTCTGCAATGTTCTTTTTGCAATGCGTGAGGGCTGCGGTTATTTTAATCTGCTCGCTATTAGCGTGGTTTCTTTCAGAAAGAAAACCAAATCAGCTAATGTATAGAAGATTTTGTACGGCTTATTTGAATCTCCTGGCAGGATCGCCAATGTGTGACTTACCTCGTTGAGAGATGGTCCGAAAGTGAGGGGAGTTGTCCGTGCGTGTTCATTGAAGCGTTGCCATCGAGCTCGCCGTATAACGGCATTGAACTGTAACGGCGCTGACATCGACGAGCTGGACGCACGGCTTGCTGACTAGTTAAGCGTCAAGTTAAGACCCGCTTACACTAGCTCTAACATATGCCACACAGACGCGATGGGAGATAGAAAGATAAACGATTGAAAATTTGTTTGTAGACGCCGACTGAGCTGCTCGACTTCAACAGAAAAGAACGCTACCAGCCTCTTCGTCGCATCGATTTTGCCGATTGAATAATAAAATTAATTATTTTTATATGAATTTTACATAACATGTTTAATCACATTGATTTCATTGGACACATAAGGTGCATGTGATTTTGTGGTGTAATTTCCAATTATGAGATCACATGGGAGTTTTGTGAAATTTACTTGGATTGAAGTGCAATTTTTGCCAGTATAAAAATCTTGACTTCTTTCATGTTCCGGATGGGTGTGGAGTTGATATCGCATTTCACCGCTAAATTCAACTAAGGCATCGAATTGTAACCCATTTATTTTCTTTTTTTCAACTTACAGCAAGGACCACAAGATGGCCCTGATACAGCTCAGCTCGATCGAGGAAGCGGTGTGTGCGCTGATCAAGATGCACAACTACCAGCTATCGGAATCGAACCATCTGCGTGTCAGTTTTTCCAAATCCAACATCTAAGCGTGCCGTGAGAGAAGCAGTGTAGCAACTACAACCAGTAATAGTATCCAGAGAATCCACATCCACGTCGTCGTTGTCGTCTCACTGTAGTGTTTAGCAACATCATCATCATCATCATGATCATCATCATCATCATCTTCGTCTTAAAGATTTAAGGATGAACCACACAGAAACTTGCTCTCAACCCAACAACAATAACAACAAGAACAACAACAGCACTCGATTACACTAGTAGAGGGAGGATATTCGTTACTGGTGACTGATCAGTAAGTTCACACTCACAGAAAAAAAAAAGAATTAATATATAGGAGAATAATGCCGAGGCCGAGGATGAGACTGATGGATCGAATTGAGCTGGTTCCATGGAGCATAGCTAGAAAGGGAAGCAGAAAAGTTGCACGTTGTTACAGAGAATGAGAAAAAGAAAGATAGAGAAAGAGAGAGAGAGAGAGAGGGAAAGCTAGGAAAAGGTCGAGTTCGTCGTCATCTCTTACTATACACACACATACAAACAAACACACATACCACTAGAAGTACCACTTAGCAAAAAAAAAATCCACTATACTTTTAACTACACTAAAAAAAATGAATCTTTTCTCAGTAGTTGTTGTAACCGCAAAAGTAATTGAACAAACAAAAAAAAAAAAGGAAACTGATCACACGCCTACAGCGTTTGCTGCGCCATTGCTCTGCGATACGGAGGTCAAAACAATGTTGAAGTCAAAAACAAATGGGGCTTGGCCAAAAACTCACCCACTCAACAACACATACACAGAAGAAGTAGACAGAAGAAGTAAACAGAAGAAGAAGAAGAAGTATCCTAACTGAATCAAACAAAATGTAAATTGAAATGTGTAATCTTTTTACCTTAGAAGAAGATAAGAACAAGAAGCGTTAAATGGGAACAAATTATACCTTTAAAAAACAAAAAAAAAAGTAATGAAGGAACAAAACAAAAATAGAAATCTTATCAGCCGAGTACAGTAGGAAGGAGGAAGGGAAAAAAAAGTTCAGTGGCGTGAGCGAGAGAGAGAGAGAGAGAGAGAGAGAGAGAGAGGAGGGGAGCTGTAGTAGAAAATCGTATTTAAACCTGTACTAAAACGGAAGGAGAAGCAAGGTAGTTGAATTTTCCAAATGTACGCATCAAATCAGAAATATCTGTGTAGGAAGGAGAAGATCTGAACTAATAATATAATCTAATTGTTAGAAAGAAATACAACCTGTGGAGGAAGATGAACTTTTTCTCGGAATTTCGCATTTTTCCATGCAAATCACTGTACGATTAATTTAAAACTAAACTATTTACTATTTACTCCTACTTTTTACGATGATGAAGAAGAAGAAGAAAAGAAAATGAAGAATTACGAATCTGGTGGCTGGTTTTTTTTTTGTGTTAGATTATACCTTACCTATAATTAGTCTCTTCACCCCCTACTTTTTTTTTTTTAAATGCAATCACACTCACACATTTACTTTTTAGACGAACGAAAGGCGAGAAGGAAGGAAGCAAAAAAAAAACACGTAAAATGGCGACGATCTGAGTTTAACGAGTGTGCGTGAGCGAGAACAAGAGAAGAAAGCGAACGGAAGGAGGAGAAGGAGGAGTTCGAGGGAACTCGAAGGAAAACAATTACTACTGTATTATTAACAGATAGTTAGAGACTAGTTTAAAATATTTTTTTTTATTTTTACAATTTATTATATTTAAAAAAAAAACAAAAACAAAAGGACGAAGGAAAGTGTTGGCGTAAAATGCAAAGCAAAATAAACCAAGAAGAAGAGACACGGAAGGCAGGACATACATACATACAGACACACACGGACTCGGTTGAGAAGAAACGAATAATTTCCAGTATTGTTTAATTGTAATTGTTATTGATTGGGAACGGATCGGAACGCCGTGGAATGTGCGTGTAGAGCGGAAATCTGAGAAACAAGGACGAAGTTATATGTATAGGTTAAAGAAACAAACAAACAAACAAAACAGCAGCTGTAGGCCGTGCGCGGGCAGCTGGTTAGGGTTTAGTTTTTTTTTTTGTCCCCTTTATACCCAATCGTTATTTACACTCAGTCTCTAAGTTGTAGTTATTTATGCGACATTTACATTTAGTGTGTAAGTGAAATACGCGGAAGGAGCGAGGTGTTTAGGTTTAGGGCAGACGAGACGAGATTCGGTTTGTTGCGTCTTAGTTGCAATAGCTTTCACCGAGCGGGCGCGCGCGCGCGCGCGGAGGGCAAAGAATCTCAGGTATCGAATTGGTCACCCTCCCTCCCGGGACGACGGAAATGAGGCCTGCCTCGCCCCGCGGTGGAGTCCCCCTTTTGGTGGGGGGCAAACAAACATCGTGATTGTGATTGTCGAATCATCCATTATTATTATTATTGCTATCAGTGCGAAGGGTGCGGAGAAGGCGACCCTGCCCACCCCCTCCGGGAAATGTGATTTGCTTTGTGATCATTTGCCAAATAATGTGTGTAATGTAGAAGAAGAATCAGAACAAACAAAAGAAGTTGGAACGCTCTAACGTTATTTTTTTCCTTCTATCGATGCGTTTTCTCCCTCCCACTATTGAAAAAAAAAACACTCTCACACCAACACACACACACACACACTCACACTTTCACATCCTACCAACCTAGTATTCGCTAAAATTGGTTTGATTAATAAAAGGGAAGAAATTCCGGAGAGAGAAAAGCGTGCGCGTGCGCGGGCGGGATTGAAACGGCGGGCACGAGTCATCTGTCAGCTGCCGGCAGCTCGCCGCACGCGCGACGCTCGAAGCTTCACCCGAAAGTGAGACAACACAAAAAAAAAGAAGTGTCAAATCAAACAGGTAAAACGTGAGAAAATCAATCATTTTTGTAACGGAAACACTGCTGAAAACAATCATTCGCGAGCGAACGTGCGAAACTAGAGAGAACGGACGGACGAACGAGCGAGCGAGAGAAAATGTAATACAATGCGTGACAATTCATCAAGAGAAACACTTACCAACGTTAGAAGAGATACATTTACACACACACACACACATACATACATACACACAGACAAGCGCTAGAGCAAACAGGAATCACCCATTGACACATTCAAACAAACCAACACGTACACGCTAGGATCAAAACAACTATGACAGATAGTAGGCGTTGCATTTTTTGAGCTTATCGATGAAAATAAGAGAAACCGAGTAAACCGAAAAAAAGTGAACAAGCAAGAACACTTATTAAAGAAAAAGAAAAAAGGTCATTATATATAAACGGCAGAAGAGAAAAGAAACAAAATTCCAATGGAAAACTGGAGGAAATCATAGTAAAATTAACTATAAAAAGTGGTGATTAAATCATTAAAACAGTTTTTTATGATTATTATGATAAAAAAAAGGTATATTAAAACTATATATTTAGAGTATTAATCTACATTAAAAGAAGACAAGTGGAAACCAGAGAAAGCCGGGCGATCCAAAGCGGAGCGTAAATCGTAAATAAATGGGTAAACAAAAGCTAGGAAAAATTAAAAAAAAATATTTACACATACAGAAACAGAACAAGAAGAAGAAGAAGAAGAAGAGAAAAAAATGACAGCAGTTTACAAATGGTGACAAGTGAAAATCATACGAACCGGAGCCCGCCGGCCTGTCATCGCGAGCAAGCGAGCGAGGGGCGGCGCGAACCTGTCAACAACAATAAGAGTGACAGGCGATGAAAAAAAAAAAAAACATGGGCAGAGAGAAATTCGAATAATGAATATGAGAAATCTCGACAATCAGATGATGTTATATTTTAGCGATAAATCTTTAATCTTCAAACTCTATTATTATATACTATTGAAAAGAAAAAAAAGAACAAGGAAAAAACGTGGAAACTTCTTATTATACACGTGAAATACACACACCCTCACTCAATCATAAACAAAATCTGACAGCTACCACACACGCGCGGAAACGGAAATCCTTCGGGCGCGAGAAATACCCATACACACACACACACACACACACACACACACACACACACACACACACACACACACACACACACACACACACACACACACACACACACACACACACACACACACCCAAAAACACCGACAGAGGAGCTACACGCTAAAAACAAATCAAGTAAATGGATATCAACTAAACTATATCTTATTAGCTACTAGTGGAAAAAGCGCCCGGCGGAAGGGAAAACCGCCGGCATAACCCCCATTCTTTACTCGTAATTAGTCGCCTAAGACACGGAGCAAAACGTATCTACTAATTTTTACGTTTACTATTGAGTTTTAATTTTTAACTCTGTATTTACACTTATGCTACTAATAACACACATCTAACTGTTAAGAAGACACACAACACATTTACAGACGACACATACAAACGATTACAGCAAATTCCCGCTTACAATCCCGCACCCTTCTTCTTAGTTGTTACGAGTTACAAACAAACAAACTAACAAACAAGAAAGCGAACGAGAGAAAGAGAGAGAGAAAAAAAGAGATTTCAAAACAAACACTAACAAGTGGAAAGCGATCAAAACTCGTGTTACAATGCTAGCCAAAAGTCGTTACGAGTGTGCTTTAGTTGATGTCAAACAAACAATTGGGATCACACTCACACCCCTTAACACAGCGGAATATTTTATTTACTTTTAAATATTAATAGACATTTACATCTGCGTTTTATTCTTTTAAATTAAGTGCTACGACGGACATGTGGAAAACAATCTCTTTCGCGCTCTTTGCCGTCAATCTCTTTTGGTTTCCCCCCCTTAGCACACGCAAACAGACACAAACACACACACACACAGAACACTCACCCCTCACGAAGCAAAGCAAAACAAAAAAAAAGTATCAAATATTCTATCCTCACGCTATATCCTTATTGCAAAAAAAAAGAAGACGAAGAAGAAGAAACGCAAGTGAAGCAAAACAGTGTTAGAAACTATCTATTGTATAACAAACCTAAACAAAAAGAGAAAAAAATGGAAGAAGAAGAAAACAAACAAACACAGACAAAAACTCGTGAAAAAAGTAATTAAATATCAAACAAAACAAACAAAAAATTATATCAATGTATTTGAAATTTAATCGAATAAGAGAAAGCTGTTCGTACTACTACGTTTATGAAACAAAACAAAAATCTAAGCAACCTTAGCGCAAGACAGAGAAAGAGAGAGAGAGAGAGAGAACGCGAGCGGGAACGAACGAATGAGACAGCGAAAGAAAGAGAGAGAGAGACCGAGATTTTTGCCTTTTTTTTTTTTTTGTTTATAATTGCAATATTCTTCCTTTCGTTTCTAAGTTACTAGGGAATACCTGCTAAGAGCGATAGGAAACTCCTTACTATTTTGTTTCGTTCCCATCCTCTTGGATTGACCGTGGAAAAAAAAAACAAACAAACAAACAATTGGAACGGGTTCCGGCGGGGAACCGGACTAAGGCTTAACAGTATTCTTTGAATTAATTTTCGTTTTTGGTTCTGTAATTTCAAAGCTCCTTAATTCTACCGCAAGCTGCTGCAGCTTAGCTCGTTGGAATGAATGCACGCGAATGTGGTTAACTGTGGACGAACGACCACACTCTCTCACAAACACACACACGGATAATCAACCAGTGAAATATGTGTCAAATTTATATCACTACTTCTACTGTTACTACTACTACTACTACTACTACTACTGCTACTGCTGCTACGAACTTCTACTACTACCAACACACCAACAAACAAACAAACAACGTATTGCAACCCTCACTGAAGGAGAAGCGGAAGGGGCAAAACCGGGTTACTCGTAGAGTTACTTACTACACTTAGGTACACAGACAGTTTAGATCGGTAGGACATACAAACAGACACTTGGACGGGACCGCAATTTTCCCCTAAACTAAAACCGAAGCTGAAAATCTCAATTTCCTCTCTCTTCCGGCTTTAAGAAAATAAATCTAATTAAACGTCAGACGAGAATGCTGGCATTGGAAGCGATGTGGCTTTCGAACAAACTTGAACCAATTGCCGTAACGCGGGTAGATCACCGCTTCCTGGTGCGTTACGGCTTCAGATCTACCGCTCAATCCCAGCACAGTGCTGGCTAATCAAAGGAACACATCCTAGTCCTTGTCACGTTGATAGTGGCGCCGGATTCGGGTTGCTTTCCACTGATGCCGTTTTTAGTTTGAAGCGAACACTCACCCGGGTGACAAGAGCTGTCAAATTGATAGTGAATGTCAGCTACCAACCTACGTTCGCCACTAAGCAACCTGGAAAACGACTAGGTTTGCACCCGAATTTTTTTTCGAGGTTCATCAGTTTCACGCATACATTCAAAACTTAAAGTGTTTCCTTGTAGAGTTCATTCTTCCATCACACCTTGCAGTTTCAAGAGCACACAACTCAAGATGTACGAGGTGCATACATCTGCAAGTTTCAGACATTGCTTGCTTCACCGCAGCAATCAACAAGTTAGTAGTTTCAGCTACGTACATTCACAGAAAACTTATTATTGAACTTCTATATCAATTTTCACCTTGCGATAGAATTCGGGTCGTTTTCGGTCCAAACGCGCTATTCAAAGCTCGATGGTCTTGAAATTTGGTGACTTTTCCTAACTTATGGGAACCGTACGTGCAGTATCTCAGAATAAAAGAGTCACTCGCCCGGCTTCTGGGTCTTTTAGGACCCAATGTTGTTTCTGCTGTAAAATTCACAATTTGAGTGCTATTTTCAATCTAACTGCAGCAAGAGGAGTGCGAGACATCTAACTGCACAAACCTGTTTTTTTGCCATTTAAGCGGTCAGAATGCCATGTGGTCGTCATGACCGCACGGAATCAACTACAATCTGGAGTGGGTCCGGGAGAATGGAGCCATATGCATGAGACATCGATTACTCCGGATACTCTCCAGAAAATCCGGAACAACCGTTGGCAGTCAAGAAGCTCAAGACTGCAAGACTTCATGTCCTTGGGTACGAAAGTGACCCCCCCGTTGGCTTCGTACCACTCCAGGACAACATTTGAATAGTGGCACAAAGCTAGATCCCTCCAGAAGATCGTAGGGGCCCTCGTGTTGCTTCAACAGAGGAAGCAGACGCTTCTGTAGACACTCCTTGAGGTAGATCTCCCCGTTTACAGTCCCGGTAATCACGAACGGCGCACTCCGTTTGCCACATGGGCAGATCGCTTGCCAAATGATGTATTTTTTGGCATACTTTGAAAGTGTCTGCTTCCTTACTTCCTCCGGAACGTCAAACTTGTGCTGGGTGGTGAAGAACAGTAGCCCGGAAGCTGCCGGAAGTCCGCCTTGACGTAAGTCTCATCATCCATGATGAGACAATGAGGCTTCATCTGGGTGTTAAGTTTCCGGACCCATGACTTTCCCACCGTATTTTGCCGTTCGTCACGATTTGGAGCCTTTGGCACTTTGTACGTATGCAGTCCCTCCCGGTCCTTGGCTCTCTGAACGAAAGACTTGGACAGATTCAACTTTTTGGTCACATCCCTGACCGAAGCATTGCAACTGCTCCCTGACCGAGACCTGCAACTGCTCCCTCGTAGGTGTGGAATTGTTTCCAATTCCAAAGGTTTTGATGAAGATTTTTTTCTCAATCAAGCTAGGGGAAATTATGGCTTCTGTACTTCTTTACCTATTGTTGTACATTAAGTATTAGAGAGAGTGTCCATTTCTGGAAATATGATTAAACTTCAACGCTCAAGGACTTGATTTACCCACTGATTGGACGATAATAGGTAAAGAAGTGTCGAAGCCGTCTTGTTCCCAAACTCCCTTTAAGACGATTCGATACCTTTTTCGGGAGGAAGCTTCTACCTAGTTGGTGCCGAATTGCTATATACGAAACAAATTGTATTGCAAAAATCTCTCTGAATCATCACTGGCGATATGGTCTTCGGGCCTTGAATCTACACACTTAATCTAGCTCGGTAAAATCTCCAACAACCGATTACCTCGGCATTTACTTTTGCTGATATATCTGCAAAATATCTGTTTGTTAGCTGAT